TCAAGTCTCGCTTTGTGAACCTTATTTCTCAAAAAGCTCCCAAGAAAATGATGTTTGCTGCACTACCATTGTCGACCATTACCCTGAATACTCGGACGTTACCGATCTTTGCTATGATTACAATCGCATCGTGGTTGTGATGAGGAGATTCTTCACACTCTTCCTCAGTGAATCTTATCACCTCGCTTTCTTGTTTGGGTCGCTTTGATGACCTTTGTTCACAGCTCATTATTTGGGGGATTGAGTCTGTTCTGGCTTCTCGCGCATATTACTTGCTAGAATGCCTAGAGCTCCCTGCAATGTCGGGTTCCCCGTAGATCATGCCCACCAGTACCTCCTTGACCAATTCTTTCAAGTGGCTTCTTTTGATCAAATCTTCTATAGCGTCCTTTAGAGCTTGACACTCATTGGTGTTGTGTCTAATGTCTTGATGGTACCGACAATATTTTTGGTGATCTCTTTTGCTTGGTGCCCCCCTCATCCATTCTAACACGGACAATTTCTTAGCCTCACGAGAGACCTCATAAATGTGAGCTACATCTTGAGTCAAGGGGGTGTATTTTGCATATTGCGGGAAAGATTGCTTGTCCCTACAATTCTTTGTCTCTTTTGGAACTTGTTTTGGTCCATATCATTGCGATCTTGGCCCCTCTATTTATCTGTTGGGCGATTTTATTGCCTACCAGGGGCTCTCCTTGGCGAGCGTCTAGCTACGGCCACCAACAAACTTTCTACCCGCTGATATTTGGCGGCCATTTGGTTTCACTTGGCCAGACTCACGTGATCCTTGCTTTGGAGATCTTTCCACAGCTCCATCTACAACCTTATTCTCACTATCAGCAAAGTCTGGATCTACTATTCAAGTGCATTCGTGACCTTTGTCTATTCATTTTGGAACCTCATTAAATACAAGGTTAGTGTTTCGTCTCTTTCCTGATGATTATTGCTTAGGTAGCTGAGCGGCATTGCAAATTGTCTTCTCATTTGGAATTGCTATAGTTATAGTGAGGAGAACTGTTGCCAAGACTAAATTGAGTTCGCCTTGAGTCTCTTGTACCACCTCTTGGCATCCCCTATCAATGTGACCATGAAGCAGCGACACTTTGCCAAGTCATAGTCCTGATGTAGCTCCATCAGGTCGTTAAAAGAGTCAAGGTGGTCTTTGGGATCCCCTTTCCCGACGAACTTGCTCTCTGGCACCCTGAATCCCTAGGGGAGCGGGGCCTGGTGAACTTCCTATGTGAATGGAGAACTTACTATCTCTTCCACCATATTGTTTTGGCAGGCTTTTAGATCGTGGAACATTTTTTGCACTCGATCCAAGTCTTCATTGTGAGGAGTACTCTGGCTACGACTATTCAGCCTTACCTCAAGCAAGCGAGCTTGAATATCTGTTGCTTGTGAGCCTCCTCCATCGTGTGCATTGATGTGCAAGGTTAAGTCATGATGGTTGGGTTGGTAGGTGCTATCATAGTCATCAGTACACTGCTCACGATGTTGGTTAAAACCGGAATGTCGGTCATTGTCAGATTGGCACATGTGACTCATCTCACGAGCTTGCGAGGTCTAAGCCCGCCTTTGCCGTGGGTTAAAATCGACACGTTGACGTTGGGGATATCGTCGAGTAGGTCGAGTATCCCTTAGACGACCATTGCCATCATTCTCCCCCATGGGTTGTTTTCCTGGTCGCCTCCCGTGGTTAGTTTGCCCGCGAGACACACATTCTTGAACGGAATGTACCCTATGATGTCGAGGATGTCGATCGCTCCTTAGTGTTGATGAACCAGATTGGTCGCTAGTTGAGTTCCGACCTGTTAGGGTAGCATCCGTAAAGCATGGCTGGTCCAGGTCTTAGAGGGCCGGTTGTTGATTTCTTAACTCAGCCACGTTCTATTGCATCGCCTGTGTAATCATTGTTTTGATCATCTCCACTAGTTGCCTATTCTCTGGATTTGACGTCCCTACCCCTACTGATTCGTGATATGAGGCATTGGTGATTGATGCCCGACATCTTGATGCACCTCCTGGTGGGTGGTTTCCATATTGTCGTGGTTTCTAGTGATGGTTTTTGATCTGGTACGAACCATTGTAGGCCTTGAGTGATTGAGTCACTGAGATTGTTTGCTGGAAATTTTGAAAGTAGGCGAAGGCCCTCCTTCTAGCGCCAAAATGTTAATACGAGATTCACACCAACTAGAGTGATCCGATTGACCTTGACGGAATTGGAACTGATGCGTGCATGATTAAGCATAACCAATAATGTATGAATGTAAAACAATAAAGAAAATGACACAAGAGAGTTTTAAAGTGGTTCGGCAAGTTATAATCTTGAGCCTATGTCCAGTGTTCTTTGTATTTGCTGTGAGAGCTTACAAGAGTATTCCTATAACAATTTGCTAACCCATTTTCCATCTTTGGAATGGGTTTATATACAAGTTTGGTACAAAGGAAAGAGCGAAAATAAATGGATTGCAATTAGGATTGAAATGCAACTACGATATTCTCAAGATTAAGCATTAAGATTGTGTCATGATTGTTGTCGATCTAATCTCTTCCGAGATGTCTGGGATCTAAGGTTATCTGTGAGCTGTTTGAACAACTGTCGAGATTGGTTGCGACTAGCTTATGCTGGGTCGAACAATCGTCTGAGTCGAACTGGTTTTGAGTCGGGCTATAACCTCGAAAAACTCTGACGTCTCTGAACTTGATGGAAAAATCACATACAACATAGGGTATTAAATATTAATGTTATTTTAGATTGAAGTGAGCAATTATAAAAGTATTTTTTACTCGGTAAACTGGTTGTAAAAGATTTCTTTAGTTTCTAAATTTATGTCTGGATGATTGAATAATGGTAATAATGACTATATATATCTTTTAGCATTAGGGTTAGGCTTCATACAGTAACTGGTTGGAAAAATTTTAAATAAATACTAAAGCAAAATCAACAGAACAACGATTAAGAGAACAGTGTGAAATCGTTTATGGTTTGGTGGGTTGGGGATTCTCCAAAAATGTCGATTATCAACACTTCATTAGATTCTCCATATATAAGGACAAAGTGGCGTTTTTTATTATAAAAATATCAAAAATAAAATAACATATCTCACATCTCCTCATATTTGAGCAATTGTCTAGTACCTCCTCTCTCCACCTTTAGCTAACCACCCAAACTCTCAACTGGATAAGTGTTAATAAATATTTGCACAATGTAATTAAATAGAAGAAAGAGAGTTATCTGTATTTGACGCTAGAGCCTTATCTCAATATAAAGTATTACATATTGAATGATGTAAATGAGTTGTAAATAATAGAAGCAGGCTAGTGAATTGGTCATAGGGATTAGTTATTTAAGATAAAGACATTAGTTGTAAAAATAGAAGACGTGACTAAATGAAACTTTTTCTTTCCGATTCTTCTTTATGCTCTCTAGAACCTATATATATACTGTTTCTTTATTCATATTTACTACTACTTCTACTACTACTACTAATAATAATAAAAAAGCTCCATTCGAAACAATGGGAGTAGCCCGTGTATCGTCAAAGAAATTTCTCCAGCGGCATTGGAATGACATTTGAAACCAGTCCAATAGTGAGATGTTGTAAAGGTATTATCAATAGGTTGCGATATTTACAACATTGTTTTTGTGGTTTTAGTTGATTCTCAAGCTCATTAAGAGCAATTAGTGTTGCTTTCCGGGATTGTGATCGCGCTCTTTCAGAGCCGATGAATAAATTATAAATGTAAATCAATAAAACATATTTTCGTAAGAGCAACTTTTTATTTGTAAGACAAACCATGACTAATGGTGGTGATAAAAAGGCTTATAGCCAACTAAATAACTGATAGCACTCTGGGGTGAGGCAAATTTACAGACCTTATAAAGTTATAACTACAAGAAGTCAAGAACATATTGAAAAATGAGTCAAAGATCTAAACAAAAATAAAAACCAGTACTAAGATATATATCCTTTCCAAGGATCTTAGACGAAGAGGAGAAAACGGCTTGATTATTCAGTCAATAGGTATGGAATCGGCAGTTGTTCAACTTGATTAATAGAAGAGAATAAAATTTTGACTTAAGCGTTAGTGTATCCGTTCCCCCGATCTTAGTTTATTTTGTAGATAAGAGAAAAAATCGCAACAACAATCAATTTTCCCCTGGGTTCCTTCGGAGAGCTAAGCTGTGAGATTTCCTTGAAACTGAAATTTGTGACACAACTGACAACTCTAAATATTTTATGTTCCTAGTTAAAATCCTCAACCAATTCTCAAGTATTAGGATGAATTTTCTAGTTTAACAAAAAAAGTTATTCTTAGACTCCTCGTGGAACAAAAACATAAGGATTAGATTATTATTTTTTTTTTTCTTTTTAAGAAAAAGAATAACAAAAAGAATTGATTTTTTTTTTTTTTTTTTTTTTATAGTCAAATGAATGTGACTGGCCGGTGGTCAACATATATTTTTATACCATGTGATTGAATTGTAGAAAACGAAAATATAATGTGCTGGCCTGTCATCAATACGTATGATGCATTTTCGGTGATTCTGCAATGGTAAATGAATATTTATAATATATCCATAAACTAATGTCGGCCACAACACGTGTTTAAGTAAAATACATTTTAAATTGAATATATTTCATTATATTAGTTGATTGTGTCAGGGTACCACATGATAAATTGACCATTATGTTGTCGTATTAGAATAAGATTGAATTAATAATATATGGGCTTGTATCCCTGTTCACCGGATTCAGATTATGAATATTTACATACATGTAACTTATTTGTATCACTACGTATCAGTACTGTAACTGAGGAACTGTAGCTCATTATATAACTGATAGTCTGATACTGTAGCTAAAATAAAGCACATCCCACGGCTCAGCTTAGTTAATCACAAGGATCGCCAACTTGGACTGGCATTGTACTATATAAACATCTCTGTAACTCATTTCCACTATGAAGTTTTTGAGTTAAGAAATTGAAGTGAAATTTTCTCATAACTTTTGTTCTGAATTTTTGCTCTACTAGAAGAATCTTTACACAACATATATATAAAGTTTCAAAAAAAAAAAATCAGCTATATAAACCGCTTAAAAGTATCTTCTTCATCATCACAACACTTACACAATGGACACAATGGAAGCTCTTTCTTGGGTTATCTTAGGCCTGGCATGGATAGCTGCCATAGCCTTCCTGAAAAAAATCTCATCTTCGTGGGGCCATCCACGAAAATTTCCACCAGGTCCTAAACCATGGCCTATTATTGGCAACCTTCATCTCATCGGTTCACTCCCTCACCAATCTTTTCACAAACTATCCCAAAAATATGGAGAAATAATGCAACTCAAGATTGGCTCTTTCCCTGTTATTGTTGCCTCTTCTCCAGAAATGGCTAAGCTTTTTCTCAAGACACATGATCATATCTTTGCTTCGAGACCTCAAACTGCAGCAGGCAAGTTCATAGCTTTTAACAATTCAGATATTTTGTGGGCTCCTTATGGACCATATTGGCGCCATGGCCGTAAAATTTACCTCACAGAGCTATTTAGTTCAAAACGACTCGAGTCTTACAAGTACATTCGTGTTGAAGAAATACGAGACTTCATGTCTTGCCTGTATGCCTGTTCGGGGAAGCCAACTGTGCTTAAAGATCATCTCTCACGCTATACCCTCAGCATTATAAGCAGAATTGTGTTGGGTAAGAAGTACTTTAGTGAGTCAGAAGGCTCAAAATCTGAAACATCGGTTGTGACACTTAAAGAGTTTCAAGAGATGTTAGATGAGTTGTTCTTGCTCAGTGGAGTGCTGAATATTGGGGATTGGATTCCGTGGCTGGATATCTTGGACCTGCAAGGATATGTGAAGCGAATGAAGGCCTTAAAGAGAAAACTTGATCGATTTTATGAGCACATATTTGATGAACACAAAGCTAACAGGGAAGCACTGGGGGATAATTTTGTGCCAAAAGACATGGTGGATTTACTATTGCGGCTGGCTGATGATGATACCAACCTTGATAATAAGCTAACGTGTGATAGAGTTAAGGGCATGACACAGGTACATATCTTTTCTTTCAATCTTTGAAATTAATATAGGATTACCAATTTATATAAACTCAATTAAAATGATATATTGATTGTTTATATATGGAAATAGATGTCACATTAAATCATTTATGCATGACCAGGATCTCATATTTGGAGCCACGGATACCGCAGCTACTGCCTTAGAATGGGCTATGTCTGAACTCATGAAACAACCACATCTTATAAAGAAGGCAACAGAAGAACTTGATACAGTAATTGGCAGAGAAAGATGGGTTGAAGAGAAAGACATGCCACAACTTCCTTATATTGATGCAATTATGAAAGAAACTCTGAGGAAACATCCTGTGGCTGTCCTGCTAGCCCCACACTTGGCCCTTGAAGATTGCAAGGTCGCTGGTTACAACATTCGCAAAGGCACTAGAGTATTTATAAACACTTGGAGCTTAGGCAGAGATCCTTCAGTATGGGATGCACCTGAAGAGTTTCGGCCTGAGAGATTCTTAGGCAAAACAATTGACATTATTGGCCAAAGCTTTGAGCTGTTCCCATTTGGATCCGGGCGGAGGATGTGCCCCGGCTATACACTCGGACTGAAGATGATGCAGTCTAGCTTAGCTAATATGTTACATGGGTTTAACTGGAAGCTACCAGGCAATATGAATGCAGAAGATATTAGCATGGAGGAAGTTTATGGATTGGCAACAATAAGAAAGTTCCCAATTGTTGCAGTCATGGAGCCTAGACTCCCGCGTTATCTTTACTGGTTGAGATATTAATATAAGTTTCTGCTCTTTGTTTAATTTTAATAAGTGGGTGTTGATAATATTCGCGTTGGTTAACATCTTCAGTAACCAACATAAAATTTATGCTTAATAAGTTTCTGTGAGCAAACACAAACCTCAAAATAAAGAAGTTGCTGAATTTTTTACAATGCCTCAACTCCAACAAACCTTTATCCTTCTCTCTCTCTCTCTCTCTCTCTCTCTCTCTCTCTCTCTCTCTTCTCTATATATATATATATATATAATTGAAATGTAATGATACAATCCTCTGATTCGGATTCAAGTGAAAAAGAAATGTCGGGATCAACCAAATTGATGAAATTGAAACCTCTAGTGAAAATGAAAAAAATGTCTTAACCAAAGATAAAAAATTCCTCTTAGAAGCCGTTAATAAAATTGATGATCTTCTTTTGAGAAAAGAGTATCTAGAGAGACTAAAAATACCTTCGAAAAAACTGATAGGAAAATAGAAACCCATAAGGCTTACAGCTTTCAAAATATATTGACAAATTCGAAAAATAAGAAAAACGGAAATTAACACTCAGAAGATTTACAAAAGAAATACAACAACTAAAAATTGAAAGTAAAGATTTAAAAGAACAACAAAAACAACATTCGAAATTACTTGTGCCAAGAAAAAAGATAAATCTGAAGAATTGAAGATGATGAAGATCATAATGAAGATTTCATAAATGCTAACCAAATAACTTATCAAAAATGGATATTAAGATAAAAATCTTAATCAATGATGAATTTATCCTAGAAACAATTGCTCTATTTGATATCTGGAGCAGACTTCAATTGTATCCAGAAGGTTTAGTTCCTACAAAATACTATGAAAAAAAAACATAGCTTGCTAAATCAGCCAAAGGCTCAACACTTTTTATCAATTACAAATTATCGATGTTATAGTTTGTAATCAAAATATTTGTTTAAACCCCTCATTCTTATTAGTAAAAATTTGAGAAGAAGTATGTAACTAGGAACACCCTTCATTAGTTTAATAAACCATTAGTGTTAATGTTCGGGGAATCCATACAAATAATGGGGGAAGTCTTATCTTCAACTTTATACACAAAACCATCCAAAGAAAAACTTAACCTCCCAAATACTCAACGTCAAAGAACGAAATAATCACCTTACCGCAAACAAAAACATATATATTCCTCCAAGAAGAAGTTAAAACTAAAAGAATCAAATCCCAAATTCAACATAATGATATCCGCACAAGATAAAACAAATACAAAAAACTATTGAAACTCAAATTTGCTCTGACCTACCTAATGCCTTTTGGGATAGAAAAAAAAATATGGTCAGCCTGCCTTAAGAAAAGATTTTGATGAAAAAGAAATACCTAAAAGCCAGACCAATACAAATGCTAAAAGATTAGAGGAACATTGTAAAAAGGAAATCGATGACTTCTACAGAAAAAAATTAATAGGAAAAGCAAGTCTCCTTGGAGTTGCCAGCCTTCATGTCAGAAAAATGCTGAACTTGAAAGAGGAGTTCCAAGACTGTCATAAATTATAAACCTCTTAATCAGCCTTAGGGATAAGTATCAATCCCAACAAAAAAAGATTTATTACAAAAAACTATCCAATTCAAGAATCTTTTCCATATTCGACATGAGTCGGGTTTGGCAAATCCAAATTAAGCCAGAAGATAGGTATAAAACCGCATTTACTGTACCATTTGGTCAATATGAATGGAATGTAATGCCCTTTGGGTTAAAAAATGCCCATCCGAATTCCAAAGAATAATGAATGAAATTTTCAATCCATACTCCCAATTCCTTATTGTCTATATCGATGATGTTCTTATATTTTCACCAGTATAGATCAACATTAAATATTTAAAGACATTTATTCATATTGTCAAAACAAATGGTTAGTTGTTTCAAAAACAAAATAAACCTTTTTCCAAACAAGGATCGATTTTTAGAAAATAATCTACAATGGTACAATTATACCTATTCAAAGCTCATTGAATTCAGTAAAATTCCTGATGTTACACTGATAAAACTCAGTTACAAAGATTCTTAGGAAGTCTTAATTATGTAATGAACTTTTATCCTAAAATAGTCAAATCTGTAAACCTTTATATGAAAGGTTGAAGAAGAATCCAGCACCGTGGGCAAACCAACACACTAATACAATCCGACAGATTAAAGCCCAAATCACCCATTTACCTAGTTTGCATTTAGCAGACCCATTAGCCTTCAAAATGTTGAAACCGCCGATGCCTCAGATTTAGGGTATGGAGGTATTCTCAAACAAGTACATGATAACAAAGAACAAGTTGTCCAATTTACTTCCAAATTTTGGAATGAAACCAACAAAATACTCACCATCAAAAAAGAGATTTATCCATTGTCCTATGCATTTCCAAATTTCAAAGTGATTTACTAAATCAAAAATTTTACTTGTATTGATTGTCAAACTGCTAAACATGTTTTACAAAAGGATGTTCAAAATATTGCATCAAAACAAATTTTTGCGCGGGGGCAAGCAATTTATGTGTTTGATTTTGACATTGAATACATCAAAGGAGAAGCTAATTCCCTGCTTGACTTCCTCACCAGGGAATTCCTTCAGGGGAGATAACCATCATGCCTCCCAAAAGACCAACCCTCCAATCACTCAAAAACAATCAAAGGCTTCTTATGCCCAAAAGTACACAACACCAAATCATGGTATGAACTTGTATGTGAAGAAGAAGCCCAGAAAAGGCCCAACAATCAAAAGGCAAAGGCATAGCCTCAACAGCTCTTCTAGAGCCCAACAAATACAGAACAAATCTAGAATTGGATCAGCTCTTTTCAGCAAAGTCCAGAAGCAGCCCTTGCTATGATTGGGTTAACACCAAATTACCAAAAATGAGATTTGAAATTTAAAGAACTTCAAACTCTTCCAAAAAATTCCCAAGAATTTTCCCAATGTGAAAAAATTTCACTAAGCACATTGCAAAAGATAGCTCAAATTGCTCTTTCAAAAAACAAAGAAAATTGTTCCTGCGGCTACACCTTTAGAAGCCCTTAAACCAGGACAAAAATATATTCAAAAAGGAATTGCAACTAATCTTTTGGTTTTCGAAGAAGGTTATGATTTTGAAAACCTTAAACAATTAGTTCAACAAATTTTTCCAAAAAACTTTCATTTTATCCCTGAAGATAAGGAAAACTCAAAAATTTTATGAATTTCTTCTGTTGATTCTGACTCTTATGAGTTTAAACACTATGCGGAGAAAAAACCAACTGGGATTATCACTCATTCAACCTTTCATATTATGAAAATCCTTAATCTTTGATTGGGGATCCAACCAAACCAATTCAGAAAATTTTCCCCAAATTTTGACCCCCCGGATATAATTACTGGGACTATCAAAGAGCCTGGAACAGATCACTCTTTCTCCAAAATAGTCATCACAGGCACTCCTGGATGATTTACTTCAAAAGAAACACTTTATTCAAATTCCCAATTGGTTTTCCCAATGGTGGATCATTTGGATTAATTCCCGAAATCCTACCCCCAACTGTCCATGAGGATTCAATGAGTTCAAACTCAAGTTCAAAGTTTCCGAACCAGATTCAAACTCCTCCCACTACTTCATTTCTCAGCAAAGTTCCACTTCGTGGATTTACAATGGGAATATGAAATCATCCAAAATATTGGCAATCTCCCTAATTTGATCCGGAAATTTAAGTCAAGTGGTGGGGATAAATTTGATGCATCCCACGTGTCCAAAGAAAAAATTCGTTTGTCTCTCAAGTTCACCTCATCAAACTAGCAATTACCCCTGAAATTGCCAATTTTTACAGAAAAAAGACTGTGGCATCAATCCTAGCAGGAGCCAAGACAAAACAAGAACTCAAAGACCACCTCAAGACTATTCTTTCACAACTCCAAGTAACGAAATCTTACCAGAGCTCTTGTGCCTCGGTCAACCTCGCCCAGAGCAATGAAGATGACTGTTATGGAATCATCTAACTTATTCCAAACAGTTCGAAATTACCGCTTCTCTAAAAAAGAAGACTGGCCAAAAAACCGACATCAGCTTCAGAGAATATCTGGCATAATATTGAAGAGTCAGAGATTCCCTGCAAAAGAGACATTTAATGCTCTTTAAAAAAAAAAAAAAATATTCACTCAATAGTATTCATGTGATGCTATAGTGAGATAAGGTTTTCTATAAATTAGAAGGATCCGTGTATTGTGAACCAAGCTTTTGCCAAGCCAATTCTAAACTTTCTCTTTCACTTTCTCTTGATGTAAACTTCCCAAAAGCTCTCCAAAAAGAAAGCTTTCATTGTAAGTTAAATTTCTTTCAATAATCATTCTCTTTTAATCTTTCAAGTTCTTGTTTTTTTAATAATCATTCATCATGTTTGATTTTAATGTTTATTTAAGTTTTGTTTAATGTTTATTTAAGTTTTTATTTGTGTTCTTTGTTTCTTTAAAATTTTGTTCATCACTTAATCTGGTTTCAGTGCGGCACTGCCGCCGTTACCTAGCTAAGTGTTAATCTCACTTCTTAATATGATTTCTGTGCGGCTCTGCCGCCGTTGTCTTATTAAGTTGTAAGATTATTTAAATTAATGTTTATTTAACTTTATTTTAAGTTTATTTAAGTTTTATGTTTATTTAAGTTTTGTTTAATCTCTGCATATCTCCTCTTTGTTTGCAACGATCCTGTATCCTGTGTCCCTTCTGGTATATATATATATGGGATTTCTGTGACAAGACCCTTGCCTTAGGCCAAGCAGGGTAAGTTCGTCTGAATAGGTGATTAGGTTATCATTGCCTAGATGACCTTTGGCCCACAGGAATTCTTCTAGATTGCATTTTTGTAAGGAATCAAAATCGAAATCGAAATCATCTAATTCCTAAGATTTAGAATTGATCGGTTTTAATTCCCAGAAACCTGAAATCAGAACTTGAAATAGAGGTTCTGGGTATCCAACTAAAATTTAATTATCCCCTATTTTAAAAAAAAATTGACAAATACATTCCTAAAAAATTTACAAATACACCACTTAATAGTTTACAAAAATTATAATTTAGTTCTAGTTCCTACTTAGGTATCCGGACCTTAGTTCCAACAATATAGGAATCCGGACCAGACCCTAATAGGAC